CAATTCGGTTCCAAGAAGTCCTAGAGATGGGGAAAAACGGGGTTAGAGGTTGGGCGAGGGAAAGGAGGTCAACTGCTATTAGTGGGCCGAGCACGCACCTAAGTGGGCGGAGTTTGCCAAAAGTGTCGTAATTTGGTTCCAAGAGGTCCCAGAGACCGGTGAAAAAGGGGTAGAGGTCGGCGAAAGGAAGGGGCCAAATGCTATTGGTGGGCGGGGCACGCACCGAAGTAGGCGGAGTTTGCCACGAGATTTATTGTCCGGAAGCAGTCCGGAGACCGGGAAAAAGAGGATAATGGTTGACGAAGAAAAAGAGGTTGAAAGCCGTCGATGATGGAGCGGATAGAATTTAGCTGAGAATTCAGATATTCGTGGTGTATCAGGCCAAATTTGAAAATTTTCGCCGCACCATCAAAATTCGCCGCAGATCTGTGTTGTGCGCGCGACGCCAACTGGTAAAGGATAAAGGATAAAGCATTTGCCGTTGATCAATCCCTTTTTGGGATGCGGCACGCATTCTACTTCCATTTGTACATTCGTAGTGGCGTTTGAATGCGATGTGGCCTATACAATGACTTGCGGGGCCAGCCGATGTACAAGTCAGTGTTTTTATCCTCCCAGACAAGTCTGGTACCAATTAACCGACCCCGGAGGGATGGAAGGCTTGGTTGGCCCGGGCGACTCACGACCCAGGATTTGATCCCGGACCGCTCGCGTGGTGAAGCGCGCCACTTGTCACTGCACCACTTCCCGCCGGAGAAAGCATAGAACCGAGACCTGTATGCATGGTTTGAAACTTATGTTTTAGTCGGTCCATCTTTCAATGATGCTCAAGCAACTGCGCTAGATTTAACAAGATTTTGGCAGTCTGAGCTACTGTTTCTCGAAAATTCACTGAGCGCAAACGACTGTATGGAAATCTCGGCACTGTCTTTCAAGTTGTGACCTAGCACTCTGACTGCAGCCAATAGATTTGGGGCGAATAATTGTATTGTGTTACTTGGTTCGATTTCAGACCAATGAGCTGATACGGTCAGCCAAACTCGCCAGGTTAGAAAGTTCAGTTGATTTGGGGAAGTTTCCATATTCAGTTACGCCACAATGCTGTCTTTGAGGCACTTGGTAATGTATAAGTGTCCATTAATCATACATTCGTATATCAGTTTTGAAAATGTTTCAGGTTTTCTACTGATACCGTTCATTCACGCCTGAAGTATTACTCTGTTGAAGGTGTCAGCGCGTCTTCGTTCGTAGAACACGCTCGACTTAATGGTTGTTCCGCGCCAATCACAATGATCACTGCAGATGAAAACCCACCATACGATCGTGTGAAGCTTAGCAAGGTCAGCAGTGTTGTTCCATTTTTAAATGCGTTATGTATTCAAAACAATATCGACCAGGTTACTGCCGCCTACAAGACATTGCCTGTGGGTACATACCGTTGGCTCGCCTCCTACCTACCCACCTGGGAGGATTAAGCCGGACGTTGCGAGAAATTGTTGTGGAAGAAGGGGTGGTATTTATTTATTTATTTATTTGAAACGACGCATAAGGCAGTCGTGGGAAACAACGATAAATGAGCAACAGTACAACAATCTTTCCTTATAGATAACCTAGTTATAGCTCAACAAATTTTTCTTAGCTAGGCGTTTAAAAAGCACAAAAGTATGGTATGACTGCAAAGGGACAGTGGACCCTCGATGAAGCGAGAATATGCGTGAATCACGGCAAAGGGCGCGACATCGCAACCTCAGAAACCCTAACCCTGGCAAACGCTGCCTGCCGTGGCGAATTTTTTTTCGAATGGAAGACTCCGGCTGTAATTGGTTGAATGTTGATACCGCTATCGGCATATTTCGTTTTTCATTCCGAAAAAGCATCTCTTCTTAATCCTTCTGTTTCCGTGTGTAATGCGTTGTCATTCAATGGATGGTTTTTGTTGACGGGCGATCGGGATCACCGCGTGCAAGCGTGCTCTTCTTGGTCACTCGTTCGTAAAGCGAAAATCAAATAGCAATAAGGGGTTCCATCTTCCGGTGCTTATGCTCTTTTCTCTCCTTTCTTGACCAGTGCACGTAAGTAGCCATTGGGCGTTGATCATCCTGTTCTTGAGACCTGTGAAGCACTCTACTTTCAGAACATAGTGAACTTAAATGAGCTTGTTTAGAAGCCACAAGTTGAAGCGAAAGATGTACGATTCCGAAGTGATGACTACTACAAGGAGAACCACATTGATATCTTGACGAACACTAAGGTAAATGCAGATCTATGCGGAAAAGTTATTGGTAGATCAGAAGCGATAAACGACCACCCCCGGCTTTATTCTTTTACAATGGTCACCGAAAAAGTAAGTCATATTTGCACTTCACAAGATAAGAAGGGTGTGTCCCGAATTCGGAGAGCCACAAAGACCTCCTTTTATATGGGCTGAGCTTAGAATGGAAGTCGTAAACAGCGACGAAAGAACATCACTGTTGAGTTCATGTTTGACTTTGCTTTTGAGTTTTGCTCTGAACGTTTTTGCCAAATCCGAGCGCTACGATATCTCGCGTGTACGGTCTCTTCCACGAGAACTGCATTTATGGTTACAGTAGGAAAGCGCTGGTGGGTTCCGAACGGCGCAACATCTGTCCAGCTGAACTGTATGGGAGTGGATCGTATTTTTTCAAGAGGAGTCCCAAAAAAGAAGGCGGTAGTCCTTTTGGGAGATTCGAGAGAGCATTTCTGGAGAATCTGGGAATTTTGAGATTTAGACTAATGTCGAAAATTTTGCAATTTTTGCTGTTTCGGCTTTGTTAGGGGTGCTACTTCAAAGGTCCAGGTGAACCTTGTTTTGTCGCACGTCTAATGTTTCCAGGAAGGGGGGGGGGGGATTGTACTGATTCGAAATCAGCAGCCGAGCCCGCTGAGGGCCAACCAGTATCCTAAAGCAGGGTCAACCATCGTTGTGCGGTAATCATGGGGAAATTTATTTAACCGTCATGGCGCATTTTAGAGCGCCATTTCTCACTAAACACATACTCTAAGGAGTACGACCACACAGGTTCTTCCAGAAAAGTTCTGACGCTTTTGCACAAAATCAAGAGGGAGGAAAATATAACAAAACGAGTTCGGCGAATTGACTTTTAAAGTTTTTATAGAAAATTCCGGCATAAGGGAAGTTCTCATTTCGGAGATTTTAAGAACTGATCGACTAGCTTGCAGAGGTTTCTAATGCCCCCATTGCACCTGTTTCGAAGTAATCTATCAGCGTTCGAAGGAAATAAACACTCCTTTCGGTCGGTCTAAAAAATTGAGAAGAAAAAAGCTTAGCGACGGGACATTTTTGGGGGAATTGAAAATTCGCAACAGTCTTAACATTTCCAGAAAGAAAGCCTTCTAATATCTCAGTTTTTTGTATCTCGTCTCATGAGCACGCTCCTGAGACTCTCTTTTAATGATTTCGTTGTTTTGTCCCTTTCACACCAGTAAGTCTTGCAAAACTGATGTTTTCAGCATTTCTGCGATCGCAACGAGTGACACCGCTAATGCTACAATGCATAATTGCGCCTCCCTCAATACAAATAGACGATATAACTCCATTAATTTACGAATTAAATAATTTCATTGGCCTTCCCAGACAAGTCTGGTACAATTATCCGACCCCGAGGGATGGAAGTCTTGGGTGGCCCGTACGACGCACGCCCCAGTATTTGATCCCCGCGTGCATGAGTAAGTGTACCACTTGCCACTACATCACTTCTCCCTAGGAGAAAGCATGGAACCCACAACTGTATGCATGGTTTGACGTGACTGTGTGACTCGGTCCGTCGGCAATGATGGTCAAGCTGGTATCTAGCTATTGACAATGTTTTGGCAGTCTACTTGGCAACGGATTTCTCGACATTCATTTGAGCGCAAAAGAGAGTGTAGAAATCTCGGCACTGAACATTCTCCTTTTGGGTGTGCCTCGACATCCTTTCAAGTTCGTGATAGCACTTCCGACTGCAGCCAAATAGTTTTGGGGCGAAATAATTGTATGTGTTGCATGGTTTCGATTTCCCAAATGGAGCTGATACAGTTAGCCAAACTCGCAGCGAGTTAGAAAGCTCAGTTGATTTGGGAACTTTCCATATTCAGTAACCCAATGCTGCTCGCTTGAGGCCAGCTTAGTAATGTATAAGTGTCCATTAAATACAATACATCGCAATCGTTTTGAAAATGTTCATGTTTTCTACCGTATCCGTTCTATTCACCCTGAAGTTATTTCTCTGTCATGCAAGGGTGTCAGCCGCGATCTGTTCATTCGTGACACGCAGCGACTGAATGGCTGCTCCTCGCCAATACAATGATACTGCCAGATGAGAACCAACCCCCCCCCCCAGCATACGATCGTGGAAGCTTAAGCAAGGTCAGCCAGTGGACTTACATTTTTAAATTCCCGTTATGTATTCAACAATAATCGACAGGTTACTGCCGCCTACAGCATTGGCTGTGCGGTACCTTATCTCGTCTCTACCGAGTCAACCCTGCGCCTGCGCAGTTGGCGCAACGCGCACTGTCGAGCAGATCTCAATAATCACGCGGTATGGGACGGCCGGGGCGGCCCGCGGAGGACAGACGGCTCGGAGCATGCGAGTGGAATGTTCGCCGCGACGAGATGGTCTACGGGCGAAACTGCGCAACGTGGCCGTTGAGCGAGAAACGCGTCAAAAGTTAGCGGTTGACTCTGCTCCCTACTACCCACCTGGGCAGTCAAAGCCGGGACGTGGCGAGAAATTGTTGTGGAGAAGGCTGCGGTATTTATTATTATCGTATATTATTCGACATGAGCGACGATATGCTACCGATTATTTGAGGATGCTTCAATGAATTGATCACAATCTGATACATAAGTGAATAAAATCATTGATTTCTGAACCATTTTCCAGGTGAAAGAGGACGGGGACGGGGATCTCGTTCTGACTACGACTGAAAAACAACTGGAATCGGAAAGAAGGACTCGAATGTGCGGCATCAAAACGCTATCCAACGAAACTCCTATTATAGTAGTTGGTGGAGGTGAGCACCTTGAGGAGAACTTCTGCAAAGCCTATTGGTGAACTCTGCTCAAAAGTACCAACGGTGGATGCGATAGATTTCCGTGTCCCCTTTGACAACTTCCCAACTCGAGACGGGATTTATAATTTGAAAAAAGTCTCGACAATGGGTAATAATCGAAAGTTTTGCTCATTATCATGTTTAACCTTTGTTGACCACCCATCTTTACTGAATTTCGGGGCCTTCCCTCTTACCGACAGTGAACCCGCTTTTCAAGTTTATTTCAGTCTCATTTTTAAGTGGAAAAGTTTGAAAACGCTGCATTTTGAAGCATTTTTGTAATTGCTTGGTTTTATGGCACGAAACTATTACTTAGCCAGATGTCACTGACAAAAACTCATTTGTTTCTGTTTCTCGTTATTGCTTAGTTTCCTTTATACGCAGCTCCCGAATGAACCAGTTGGTCTTTTTTGCGCGCTATCGGGCTACTTTTGGAAAATTTTGTCGCTGCCAAACAGCGCGTAGATATGTCAAAGGCATGCCCCAGGATCAAATTGGTGTGGTTCTTGCACACGAATGCGAATGTATTGGTGCGAAATGGGCAGTAAAGAAAAAGGAAAAGAATCCGTTGAAAACGCTTAGGTTAAGGGCTCACTCACCTTCGTAATCGGCTGTGCTAAGGGAATGAGAGACTAAGCGCGGAGAGGAGAGTATAGCGAGAGAGCGCAGCATAGAGAGGGTCAGACAACAGCCTGATAAAAGAAAAAAATTGCAGCTGAGCAGCTTACTTTGCAAGGCCCAGCGCTCTTGTCGGTGGTTTCCGTGCACGGAATGCCACATCTGTGATTGTCCTCTAGGGTCTATCTACAGGGTGAAGGGAATCGTCGACACGACTTCTGCCCGGCTTGTGCTTCAAGCTCTCTGAAGGCATGGTATCCCAAGTTGGTGGCTGGTCTGGAGAAAGCATCCTACTTACTATAAAGCGCTTCGTCTGTCGTCTGTCGTTCTGTCTGTATGTCTGTCACGAAATTCCCTAGCTCCTCGGGATCCGCCTGGAGGGACCGGGTCAAGTGTGGGACGGGTGGGCAAGGTCTCACGAAGTACAAAACACATCAGCTAAGCGGAGCCCCGCCCACAGTGGGCGTGGCGTGCGTCGAAATGAAGTGTACTGACCAAGATTTCGAATTCAGTGACAAAACGACCTCGAAACTGGGCCAAAAAGTGGGTAAAGGTGTGCATTGGTAAGTCACATCGAATTAGGGAGACCCACCCCCGGTGGGCGGGGCGTTCTCCAAAAAAGCAGTGCTTTATGAAAAATTTCATAACTCGGTTGGGAGAAAGCCTACAGAAAACAAATTGGTGTAGGGGAGCAATGTCTAAGGTGTTCCCAGCATACATGACGTGGGCGGAGGCCCGCCCACAATGGGCGGAGCGCGCTCTGAAGTGTACAGCATTTTCTACAAGTCCTCATAATTCGGGCCGGGGAAGTCTTAAAGAGCCGGAAAAAGGTGGATAGAGGTGGGTGGAGGAGTGGAGGCCAGCTGTCATCGGTGGGCGGGGCTTGACCAAAGTGGGCGGAGTTTGCGAAAAAATTCATAACTCGGCTCCAAGAAGTCCTAGAGATAGGGAAAACGGGGTTAGAGGTTGGCGAGGGAAAGGAGGTCAACTGCTATTAGTGGGCGGAGCACGCACCTAAGTGGGCGGAGTTTGCCAAAAGTGTCGTAATTTGGTTCCAAGAGGTCCCAGAGACCGGTGAAAAAGGGGTAGAGGTCGGCGAAAGGAAGGGGGCCAAATGCTATTGGTGGGCGGGGCACGCACCGAAGTAGGCGGAGTTTGCCACGAGATTTATTGTCCGGAAGACCGGGAAAAAGAGGATAATGGTTGACGAAGAAAAAGAGGTTGAAAGCCGTCGATGATGGAGCGGATAGAATTTAGCTGAGAATTCAGATTCGTGGTGTATCAAGCCAAATTTGAAAATTTTCGTCGCACCATCAAAATTCGCCGCAGATCTGTGTTGTGCGCGCAATGCGTGCGGCGCCAACTGGTAAAGTAAAGGATAAAGCATTTGCCGTTGATCAATCCCTTTTTGGGATGCGGCACGCATTCTACTTCCATTTGTACATTCGTAGTGGCGTTTGAATGCGATGTGGCCTATACAATGACTTGCGGGGCCAGCCGATGTACAAGTCAGTGTTTTTGC